GTGGGGTGAAGTGGGGGGTCCCCCATCGTCGGGGTGCGGCGGGAGGCCACACGGTTCACCCCGCGCTGTCCCCAACCGCAGTTGCCCATCCAGAAAGCCAAGCGGCAGCAGATGGACATGATCGCCGAGCTGAAGAAGAAGCAGATGGTGAAGGAGCCGCTCATCTACGAAGGAAAAGACGGAGCCATCGAGGATATTATTTCAGGTGAGCAGCTGGGCCACCAAGAGGGCCACCAAGCCCCATCGTGGGGACCAAACCCACCCGTAGCACCTTCCCATCCCACGCGGCAAAGCTGCCGAGCGCTCTCTGCCCTGTCTCATAGCTCTTCCTCCTCTTCTGCTTCTTCTTTCTCCTCCTCCTCCTCCTCCTCCTCATCGCCGTCTCTCTGGATTGCTCTGCTCAGCTCTGAAAACTGTTCCTTTCACGGCCCGGACGGGCAAGCGCTCGTCCCGGCTCTTCTGCGACGTGAGCTTCAATGAGGAGAGTCCTCTGTAGGTAACGTGGGGGCAGCCGGGCTCGGGGCGAGCGCACGGCGCAGGCAGGGGCTGCCAGACTTTGTCCCCCTCCTGGGTTTCTTGTCTATCATCACCTCCGGCCAGACCCTGCCTCACGCTGGGGGCACCACGGCATCAGCGCCATCATACGGTGCTGGGCACCGAAAGAGCCGAGGGACGGGGTCCCCCACGCTGGGGGTTCGTAGCTGCTGCTCCTCCTGTCTCTGTGCGCAGCGGGTTGGGCTTCTCCCGAGCATCCTCCTACCCAAATGGGGCGACTCCTGGGCGGTGGTGGGTGACGGTCGCAGCCTTTGGCAGGGTGGGCTGGCGGCGCTCAGCCAGCCCCTGCGCTCTCTCCCACCACAGATCTGCGGAACAACCCTTACCGGCGCGCAGACAAGAGCCGCGGCAGCGCCAAGAAACGGGCTGCAGGGCAGAGCCTGCAGGCGACGCCGGACATCTCGCTGTGACCGGCGCCGTCCCTGCAGCTGCCAGGAGCGGGGCAGGACCATCCTCCCGATGCAGAAGGGACCACAGGACGTCGACCCGCCGGCCCGGGACGATGCGGGGCGCAGGGACAGTGCCCGCTCCCAGCTGCTCCAGCCGCTTAGCGTGCCAGCTCCCACCCTGCACGCCCTTGGGTCCGGTGCAGGATTCCCCTGGTGCTTGCTTAGCTATGCCTCTGAGCTCCTCTCCTCCCGGCGGGCAGGGCTGGGGGACCCTCCTGGGCATGGGCAGGGAGGGGGGAGCACAGAATGGGTCCCAACTTGTCCTGGAAGGTAAAGAGGGGCCGCCCCATCCCTACCCCAGAGCTGCTCCATCGCGCGCCTGTCTCAGGGTCAGCCCTGCGCAGCGGTGTGCCCCGCTCTTCAGCTTGCTGGTGCCTTTGATTTCCCGCTGCAGGAGGGGAGGAGGGTTGTGAGGCGGGGACGCAGCGGTCCCTGCACATGTCCCCCCTCTCCCCCAGTCCTTCCAGAGCCGCGTTCTCCTCCGCCGCAGAGCCGAGCAGGCACAGGCTGCGCCTCCTCTCCCGCAAAGGAGCCTGCTGCAAAGATCCCACCCTGGGCACGTCCCGTACCCCAGGAGCTGGCAGGGGTGCTATTTTACAGCAATTTTATACGTCTTCCTTCAAATTTCTCTGTGCTACGGGAACAGGGACCTGAACACCCCTATACAGGGTCTCACCGGCATCCTCAGGCTGCGGTGAGCAGCACTGGGCTGTTCCTCGCCTCCGTAGCTACGACAGTCAGCAGCAGGGTTGAGGATTTACTGTCCTCAGGTCTCTGCGAGGTGGTACCCTCCTGCAGCCTCGGCATCCGCCTCTGCTGTCGGGGCTGGAGCCTCTCGGGGACAACAGTGACCATCAGCCCTGGGGGAGCAGGCGGCTGCTCCCCATTAGCCAGCAGCTGCAGGATGCGACACGCTGCAGGATGCGACACGCTGCAGGATGCGACACGCTGCAGGTGCTAGGCAGCCTCCAGCCCTCGCCATGCTCCCAAAACGCTGCGGGGTCACTGCGGGAATCACAAGGAAAGAGGTCAGAGAGCTGCACAAACCTCCAAATAACGCACTGGACTTGGTTCCTCCCCTGCCCTGCTGCTGCTGCCGCCACCGCCGAGTAAATCTGAACCATGCACTGTTGCAATTAATGCATTTACTTCGTTAAACGGCCCCTGCTCACCCTGCTGCGAGGATGCGTGGCTGCCGTGTATATTCTCACTAGCCCCAGCTTTTAGGCCAGGGTAAGTCCTCGCTGTAGCCAGAGCAGCGACTGCTTCCTGCTGTAATTAAGACGCTAAGCACCGACCGGCTCAGTATCCCACGCAAGCTCAAAGGGGAGGGAAGGGAAATGAATGTGTAACTTATAAATGCCTTTAAGCCAGAAATGTAAAACATATTAACTGCTAATTTGTATACATTATTTTTATATACTGAAGGCCAGTTTAATCTAAAGCAGAATCCACAATAAAACGACTCTAAGGATAAAGGACTTGTCTGTGAGAAGGAGTGAAGCTGTGCGTGGGGGGGGCAATGCTGCGACAGAGGGAGGGAGGGATGCACGAGCGTATTGCTCCACTATCAACGCGTGACCTCCCGCGTAAGGAAGAGCTGCCAGGAGTGGTGACCACCCTCCTTTCAACATTTGTCAGTGGAAGACGTATTCCTGACTTGCCCGCGACTGCAGCTGGGCGTAGGGCAACTTCAAGGCTCTGCTCAGCCCTGCAGCTGCTTGCGGGACCGGCAGCCTCAGGCAGGGGTGATTTATGGGGGAAAACATGACGAATAAGAGCGCCACAGGACAATGGAAGGTCACAGAATCACAGAATTTTCAGAGTTGGAAGGGCCCTCTAGAGATCACCCAGTCCCACTCCCCCGCTAAAGCAGGACTGCCCAGAGCACATCGCTCAGGACTGCATCCAGGCGGGTCCTGAACATCTCCAGAGAAGGGGACTCCCCCACCCCCTGGGCAGCCTGGGCAGTGCTCTGTCCCCCCAACCGTAAAGAAGTTCTCTCGTGTGTTGGAACAGAACTTCCTCTGTTCCAACTTGTGCCCATCGCCCCTCGTCCTGTCACTGGGACCCACCGAGAAGAGTGTGGCTCCATCCTCCTTCAACCCCCCCTTCAGATATTTGTAAGCAATAATAAGGTCTCCCCTTATTAGTAATAATAAGGTCAAAGCCGGGACTTGTGGCTCTTCCAAGGGACAGTCCCACTTCTTACTACACAAGTGTCCCTAAGGAGAAGGCTACCGGACCTATCTCTGCTGGGCCACCCGGGCAAGGAAGCCACAGGTTCTGCCAGCCCCAGCGTGGAGCAGCAGAGGGCTCAGGGAGAGGCGAAGTCCGGCACAAAGGTCCAGGGCAAAGGCCCACCACAAGCTATTTTACACTGCCGCTCAGCTGGGCTGTCCCCAGAGACAAGAGGTGGGCTAGTGCTTCCCTGAGCTGATCTGTATCTTTACAGGGAAGTTTAGTGACAACACACCCCCTTTTTTTTTTTTTTGGGTGAACAACTGCTCTGACTTCTGCGTTCACAGTCCAAACACAGGTACGTGACAGCAAACCCCCCAACTTCCATTTGGGGTTTATGTTTCAAGACAACCCACCTCACTCGCTCACTGGCAGTGCCGCCAGCACGCTTCTTGTCCACCGCGTGGATTTACCAGAAACCCACCGCCGCAGCGGAGACGAACAGCTCCTGCACCAACAGGGAGCAAAAGCACTTGCTGGAAGGTGCGGGTGAATCGCCAGAGCGCTCTGCCTGCCGAACTCAGCACCTCTGGAGCCCAGATCGACTCTTGCACATCGAGGGGAAGACTCAGCAGCTCCCAGCACGACCAATCCCCCTGCCCGCAACGGGACAGGAGGAGGAAAAGGGTCTATCTACTCGGAAACAGAGAGATGCCAGTATATTTAGCAAATCCTGTGGTCAGATCCATCAAAGTATTCATACCCAGAAATGACTTCTCCCTGCATCCCCCCAGAACCAGCGTAAGAGATGGCACAGTTTAATCAAACCAGGTGCCTCTTCTTGAAAAATGCTGTGTTTGCCACCATTGTCTTGTTTTCTGGGAAAGTGTACCAAACCACCGGCAATTAAATGAAGAATCATTGGGTTTTTTTTTTTCCAGCTTTATTTTTTTTTCCCTGTGAAAATGCAGGTCAATATTGTTAATTTCAAGAAATCACAGTTTTATAAAGTGTCATTCGTTCAATACAAGCTAGTCATTCCGTCGCCTTCACCCACGCCAGTACTGCCCATCCCAAAGAGATTATCAGCTTCGCATCGCTTTGCCAACAGCCATTTTTCCAGACTTTCGGAAGAAGCTCCATGCCAAGAGCCATCTGTGTTTATCACTCCTACTGCTATTTGTCCTTCCTACCCTGAACTGCGGTTCTGTCCCAAAGACTAGTTATGTATTATACACAGTTTCAGCCAAATTTTAACAAGGATAATGAAAAGTTTTCCTGACTTTCGCTTCTATCAGTATTGCACAGCCAGCCTTGATCTGGAAGCTGAATTTTTTATGCCTGTCACAGCAAAAATGACCAGCCAAATTAAGAGGAAATTGTCCTGGCAGTAGGAGAGAGTTGAGGAGATCCCAAGCTGGTAGGTAGCAAAACCCTGGAGATACTCCTGAGAGCAGAACCACGTCGCAGGACAGTAAGAAAGCACCAGTGGTTTGTGGTATGAGCCGACGCGTCTTTCCCATCTGGCAGGGACGGCCGACGCCGCAGCCCGCTCGTCTGGGCCGGCTGTCACGTAAAAGATTTGTTAGGTGGAAATCTGCAGCCTCACTTTTTCACTTGAGGTGGCAGCAAAAATAGGACTGAAGGTTTTGGCCAAAACGAACAGGATGGAGATACTGGCTAATGCTGGTGTGAGAGTACAGGAGAACACGGACACCTCCATCTACCCAACAAAAACATTGCGGGTTCGCAAGGGTTTAACTGCCTTTCACCCGTTCGTGTAGGTGGCCTGAGATTAACGTTAATGCTATAGATGAAGTGTAAAGCTCAGAAGTCCCGTAAAGAGAGGGCTGCTGCATCCTGCCCTCCTGCTCAGCAGAACTTGAGTCTAACGCCAATGTACAAACCCGTACACCTGTACGTCGAAGCATTTTGCAGACAACAGTGAAAGCCACGAGACGCAGCCTTTGGGAAGGGAACAGACTATGCTTTCGTATTGACGCATCACCAACAGCGATGTGTCATATTGACGCATCACCAACAGACTCTTCTTAGAAACAATCAACAGGTTTTTCTCCTCCCCCCCACAGAGGAAGCCTAGGAAGGGTGCCAGGCATGGGGAGACTGGTTGGGGCTCCAAATACGTGCTTGGGAGCTCCTGGGAAGACATTTTGCCCCTCCTGCTCCAGAATCTACAATTCTTAGTAGTTTATGGCACCTGAAAAAAACAAAAATTGAGCCAACCTACCCATTCCCCCCACTCCTTCCTGGAAGAGATGTGCGTAATGTGTTAATTGTTTACTAAAAAGACTCTTAATCTGGCATTTCAGACATAATTACGTGCCTGTTTTGGACAACGTATTGAAGTGCTTTAGAACAAAAAGTGCTATAAAAACTATACCCATAGTGGTGACAGGTTTAATTTTTCTTCACAAGTTACACTTTTTTATTACATCACAACTTTAGTTTTCTGGTGAGGGATGTCACTGCCAGTGTATCAAAACCAGCCGATGTCTGGGAGACCAAAGGGAA